AAAAAAAAAATTGTTCCGGTATGATCATTTTTTCGACCAATTTCCCTGCCACATACACTCATCCATACACGGACGTCCAGAAAAAATTATGTTAAATGTTATTATTTACTATGTTAAACAAAAAAATTGTTATTGAAATATATTTTATGTGCCTGACAAATTATTCGACTTGATATAAGTGTACTCATATTAACCTGTAAGTGCGATATAAATAATAAAAAATCAATTTCAGTTTCGACAAAACTGCTTTTTTTGAAATGTCGAGAGTAGAGCACAACCTCAACGCTTCGCTTATGAGGCGTGCAAAAAATTATGCGTAAATTTAAAAAAAATATTTTTTTACCACAATTGAATTGTTATAAAAATTCTAAAAATCGTCAGATGTCTACTGATTTCACTTATTTATACTTTGTATGTCTGTACTAATAAATGGAGCCGGTTTTTTTATCCGGTTATACTGCGAAAATTACTGAACTGATCGGAATAATACTTATAATTCCATAAGATGTAGCATGTTTCGGAGAAGATTTTAGTATATGATATGGTGGTGATTACTTATCCGGAACCTATATTTTTTTGACTGAGAAATAATGAATTTTTATTGTATGTAACTAAATTTATTCTATTCGATTATCATTTGTTGAAAATAAATTTTTTGTTTCTATCGGTTATGTTTATATACTAGGCAGATTTTTTCACTTATGAGACCTGTAATTTCTTTAATTGAAACTTTTAATGCTCATTGAAAAATTTTTTTTTCATATCAATTATTATTGATTCTTGTAAGAAAGATACGAGAGAATGTTATAATGATTGCACATTAAGAGTTACAATGAATATTAGCTAGAATAATTACATGGATAAAAGATGCATGCCAAGTCGATAGAATTGGGAATCTGTGCAAGTCAAAACAATACTCTAATTAAATATCAAGTCTAGATCGAAAAAATGCAATTCTATTAAGCGCCCAGCGGAGCGGGCGAGGGACAGCTATAGTGGTAATATATATATAAATAATATCATTTAATTTTAATACATTTTGACTGTTATTTCAAACTTGGATTTATATCATGAAAATTAAAATGAGAACTGGAAATAATTAAAAAATTTTTTTCATACATTACACCGATTATTCTGTGCATTATAGACTATCTGATAAATTAATATTGTCTTTGTTCATCAACAATTTCCATTTTTTTGAAGACAAATTATAACTCCACGCATCTTTAAGGAGGTCCTTTCGGCGCCAATGTAAAATAAAAAATATTAGATTATGAGTAAATTCAATTTTTTTCTAATAGTTAAGGTCCTTATTTATTTAATAGTGAGGTTTAAATTATACTTTACCGGACAAATTTTTGAAAAAATAAAATTTTTAAATGTTAGTATTTGTTCAGAGTCTTACGAGAAAGTCAGACGTTTGCAGTATTTCTCGAATTATACTATCAGTCATAGATTAGATGAAGTAAAAAAAAACTAAAAATTAGATTGCAGAATATTACCTTAACCACGTTTAAGTTTTTTTGTCAGTGTAAATAAATAAATTAGTTTGAATTTATTGAATGGTCTGAAGCTCGTGCGCTACGCAACGTTGCCAAATGTTTTGACTCCATTTTAACGTAGTTTACTTGAGAATTTTTTGTGATTTTTTAAATATTAATTTCTCAATAAATATCTCGGTAACTGATCTATTTTATTGCAAAAAAAGAAACCTGAATATTTTGAAAATCTAATTTTTAGTTTTTTTTTACTTCGTCTAATCCATGACTGATAGTATAATTTGAGAAATACTGCAAACGTCTGACTTTTTCGTAAGACTCTGAACAAATGCTAACATTTAAAAATTTTATTTTTTCAAAATTTTGTCCGGTAAAGTATAATTTAAATCTCACTATTAGATAAATAAGGACCTTAACTGTTAGAAAAAAATTGAATTTACTCATACTCTAATATTTTTTATTTTACATTGGCGGCGAAAGGACCTCCTTAAGAAAATTTTATTAAATACTAATAAAATTTTATTCATATGGAATATAATTTTATTACTATTAACTAAGTTTTCTTTTCAAGTCCAAATAAACTTTTTTATTACTATTAAGGAGGTCCTTTCGCCGCTAATGTAAAATAAAAAATATTAGATTATGATTAAATTCAATTTTTTTCTAATAGTTAAGGTCTTTATTTATCTAATAGTGAGGTTTAGATTATACTTTACCGGACAAATTTTTGAGAAAATAAAATTTTTAAATGTTAGTATTTGTTCAGAGCGTCTTACGAGAAAGTCAGACGTTTGCGGTATTTCTCGAATTATACTGTCAGTCATGGATTAGATGAAGTAAAAAAAACCTAAAAATTAGATTTTCGAAATATTTAGGTTTCTTTTTTTGAAATAAAATATATCAGTTACCGAGATATTTATTGAGAAATTAATATTTAAAAATCACAAAAAATTCTCAAGTAACCTACGTTAAAATGGAGTCAAATCATTTGGCAACGTTACGTAGCGCGCGAGCTTCAGACCATTCAATAAATTCAAACTAATTTATTTATTTACACTGACTGCAAAAACTTAAACGTGGTTAAGGTTATATTGTGCAAATGAAAATGTAAACAACCGAAGTACAGCGTTGCCAAATCACGGACAGGTTACTAGCAGTTGATTTGAAAGAGTCAAATTAATTTTTGTATTTAACTATTTTTATTTTTTTATTTTCAAAATTTCAACGATTAATGACTCATATACTATTTATTATTTAATTTTAGGAATTTTTATGGGTTTCTTTTTTTAATTTATCCTATATTGACTACTACAATTGTTTTGACTCAACTGGAGCGAAAGGATTTCCTTAATAAAAGTGTACATTCCGAAAGAAACTCTTTGATTATTAAATTGACGAGAAAGAGCTGTCACTATACCCATTCCTCCGAAGATGTACAAATCATTGCCATTACTGTAAATTGATGAGTTCACTCTACCTTCAGGGTGTGAAATATTATTTATTGTAAAATGCCGATTAAATTCGAGTGGTTTGAATTGATACATTTTAATAATATGTAGACAATTAAAAAAAGATTATTCATTCAATCACTTTGTTGTCAATAATATTCATTATTACGCAGGATAAAATAATAGAATCGTTGAATAGTATTCGCGGGATCAAGAAATTAGAGCCGATGGAAATCAATAGGTAACTCCATCTATGTTGAGTTTTGTTATAAATATTTTTTCTTAATGTTTTAGATAAAAAATGGGAAATATTTTACAAATAACAAAAATATAAAAGTAATTTTAATAAATATTTTTAAAGTTTATTGAATATCGAGACGTGATTGTAGAAAAATTTAAATATTAATTTTATTTTTTATTTTAAAGCGTTGGTAAACAATTTGAGATACAAATTTTTTATTTGAAACCAAAGAATTAAATATTTTCTTTCTATTATCTTTGTTAAAAATAAAATTTGCAACAAAATACAACGTGATATAATCTATACGAAAAGAAATAACTCGATAATTCTGTTATTTTTCGATTAAATAAGAACTTTTAAATAACAAAATAATTAAAATTTTTTAAATAATATTAAATTATGTTAAAGATTATATGGAATCAAGTAATAAAATTAATCAACTCGTGATTGGAATACTTCCCATGAAATTCCAAGTGACATTACTTCTTCTTTAGTTTTTGAAGCTAAATTCGGATAATAGTGGAGAACAGCCAGCCAACAAATATCTTGCAACTTCGGAACAGAAAGCCAGGTTGAATAAATCGCAGATGAACATGTATCCTGAAAAATAAATTTTGTAAAACGTTATTTATATTTTTCTACAAAATTTATCCAAAAGAGTAGTTAAGATCAAATTACAAGACAATAAATACATACTACGCCGTTCGAGTTTTTTATTACTCCTCCAAAGATAATTAACTGACCAAAAGGTGAAACGGTCGTAGAATGTTTATCACCTATTTCAGGCGGCATCAATCCTAAGTATTTCCATTTGAAACTTGTGAGATTTAGTTTCCATACATCACTATAAATACTATTACTCTGACTATATCCCCCTGTTAAAATGACATTCATATCACCAGTTAGTGGGTTTCTGTACTGAGCTACATTATACTCCAATCTTTTTTCTGGAAAATTTACTGCTTGACTTTCATCTCCATGAATGTTTACCATTTTCCAGGTAAATTCTTTTAAATCAAACACCGCAATTCTCTACAATAATTTACAAGTATTCGAGGATTAAATATTATTTAATCAATAATCGTAATAGTCGGTAAAAACCATTTATTATAATTGACAAGTTTTAAGTATTAGAGAATGTTATGATAATGAATAACTAATATTTATTAATTTCAAGTCTTAATTAAAACGAAATTTAAATGTAAAACGGATTGCTTAAAGTATTGTTTTGTTATTTAATGTAATTATGAAATTGTTTTTAATTTTTATTATTAATTTTATGATATTGAAATTAAAACACATTTATCAATTTTTTGGATTTCTATAACAACCAAACTATTATGAAAAAATTTGAATAATTATTTCCACGTCTAAAAATAAAAAAAAAATTATTTGCAATTTAAAAAAAAAAAAATATTTTTAAGAATTTAATTATCTTGAATCAAGACGAAAATTATACCAAGTAAAATTTACTTAAACCAAAAAAAAAATTCTTAGTTTGAGAATTTTTCTAGTCAAATCAAGAATTTAAAATTCTTCAAAATTATTTACTTGATTGAAGTTAATTATTTTTTTTTGTATATTCAAAAAATTCCATCTTTAAAAACTCTTAAAAATTGTGAGTACAGTTTCTTTTAAATAATTTTCTAGATCTAGTTTAAGTAAAGTATCTGCCAATTTCAATGTCATATAATACCTTCAAAACGTACTCATAAGTAATAAAAAAGATTAACACTAGAATTTAAGACCAATTGGTTTTTACACTTGAATTTGATTGAAAATACTGTAAATAAATAAATTTAATTAAGTTGATAATAATTACATTTAAAGGAATTATCGCAATCGACTCATCCAGGACAAAATGTGCACCAAATACAAAAATTGATTTTCCATTGTAAACTAAGGTAGGTTGAGATGTATTCAGAAGACGACTCTCGAACTCTTGGCTTTTATACACAATTTTCCATACTTGAGTGTTGGTGTTTAGCTGATAGACAGTAAAGTTGTTTTCTCCAAATTTATCTAATTGTACTGTGTACAAAAAATTTTCATGGCGAATCATATTTCCTGCTAATGAATGTACTGGTATTTCTCCGCTTGTATTGTGAACAAGAACATTTTTGTTTTTTAAATCATATATATGTAAACAGGATTTCAAACTTGGAGGCATATCTTGAAAATTAAAGTTAAAAGTGCATATGATCAAAAAATTTTTTTCATACATTACGCCGATTATTCCATGCATTAGACTATCTGATAAATTAATTTTGTCTTCGTTCATCAACAATTTCCATTTTTTTGTAGACAAATTATAACTCCACGTGTCTTTAATAGAAACGCTCACTCCTAAGGAAATTGTATGATTATCAAATTGCCGAGAAAGAGCTGTCACTGTACTCATTCCACCGAAGATGTACAAATCATTGCCATTACTGTAAATTGTTGAGCTTACTCTACCTTCTGGGCGTGAAATACTATTCGCAAAATGCCGATTAAATTCAAGTGGTTTAAATTGATACATTCTAATAATACGTAAATACTTAAAAAAAGATTATTTATTCAATCACTTTGTTATCAATAATATCCGTTATTACGTAATAGATAAAACAGTTGAATCGTAGAGGTTATTGTCAGTATTTGGACCCTAGAGAAAATAGAGCCGATGGAAATCAATAGGTAACTCCATCTATGTTGAGTATTGTTACAAATATTTTTTCTCAAAGTTTTAGATAAAGAATGGGAAATATTTTACAAATAACAAAAATAAAAAAAAAAAAAAAAAAACATTGATTTGAAAATAAATTTATTTCATTTTACTTTTCTATAACACTTTGTATTTGTTAATACTTGATTATTTCTTATCTTCTATACATGATACTGAAGTTAACTGACAACTGTCAATTTTTTTTTAATTTTCACATGTGGGATTTTTTCTTAATAACTTAATTACTATAAAATTATAAAAAAATTTCTAATGTCGGTTAACTTCAATATCTTCTTCTATATAGGACTACAATTCAAGTGTATAAAGAAATAAATTGCTAATTTCTTTTAATTATTGAAATTTTGTATTTGTTTTTTATTTTAAAGTTTTGGTAAACAATTTGAGATACAAAGTTGTTATTTCGAGTCAAAGAATTAATTATTTTCTTTCTATCATCTTTGTTAAAAATAAAATTTGCAACAAAATACAACGTGATATAATCTAGACGAACCCTAGCGGATTCACTGCCACGGTTATAATATGGTCAATTCACGGTCAAACATTTTGGTCAAACATTAGTATATATGAAGTGATTTGACGGTCTATATCAGGTGTCATTGTGAACGTTTTTGTCGTTTTTGACGATTGATTTACCGACTGTAGATCCGAGAAATACCTTTTTTTGTCCGACATTTCACCATCAATTCACCCGCATATAACTGACAAACAACTAGCTCATTGCGGTCGATTCACCGTGTCATCGTGGGAATCCGATGAAAGAAAATAGGTGCATTCACCCAGAACAATCGATATTAAGCTCGTAAATTGTTCGCGTATACGATAATAATTAAAAAAAAAAAATTTATTATAAAA